AGAGTCGCCCGGCTTCCCTGCCCCAACTGGTGCGAGGGTGGAGGCGAAGGCGAAAGAGAAGGATCGGAAAGAGCAGGAGCCCCTCCCCACGGACATGCTTCCCTTCTCCCGCGGAGAAGCCTCGGCGTCGCTGCCCAGCGGACCCCGACAGCTACCTGACCCGCCCTCCGACTTCCTAGCATCCGCTGCTCTTTTACGCACCCCGGCCCGACCCCTTCTGGGGGGACAAGGGTTCAAGGCCAAGATAGAAGGCCAGCTGCAGGGGGTGGGTGGGCTGCTCTAGCTCCGCTGCCCCCTTCCCCGCGCACGGCTAATCTGCTCCCCTCCACCCGCAGCCGCCCTTCCTGTTCGCAGGGGGGCAGGGAAGGAAGAGCAGCCAGCAGAGGCCTGGCCTCAGGGTCGTGTGCCCTCGGGCCCCTCCCGGGACCCGGCCCTCGGCGGAGCCTCTTGCAGCTCCGCAGTCATTTCCCCAAAACTGCCGGTGCAATTGCGGTGAATTACACCAGAGCCTCCGCGAGCAGCTGCCTATTGATTGGACCCGGGAACAGCCGTTTGGAAGAGATTAGGGGTGGGGGGAGGTGCCGGCACTAGCCACATTCATCCCTTCGTTTCAGGAAAATCCTTCCTCCTGCCCTTCCCTGCCCCTCAGTTGCCGAGCTCCGGAACACAACTGGGGCTGTCCGAGGGCGGGGAGGGGGAAACGGGGGTCAGCAAAGGTCCTGGACGGGCAGCCTGAAATCCGCGCAGAGAACTCCGGCCAAAGGGGCGGGGGGGGGGAAGGGGGGAGGCAGCGGCGGAAAGCTCAGAATCCCCTCCCTCCAAGTGGACTGGTTGAAACAACCCCCCCTCCCAACCCCATCTCGGTGTTGGGGCTGCCTCTGATCTGATCTGGAACATGAGCGGAGGGGGAGGGGCAGCTGGGATGAAGAAGCTCTAGAACCACAGCATGATTCCCACCCCAAATCCTGTGCACCTGCCAATCTTGCTTCATCCACAATGGGGGCAGACCCTGGGTTTCCACAGCATCTCAACCCCCCCCCCCAAACCGGCAGCATCAAAGCCACAGCAAAAGCTACCTTTCTGCAGCTGAAGAGCCCCCTCTCCCTTATGTGCCAGGCACCTGCCCAAAAGAGAAGGGGCTTCCGGGCTTCCTGGAATGCCAGGAGCAGCTCTGGAGCAGTTGGGCCAAACCTCTCCCATGGCTGCAAGCTCCAGACCCCACCCGACCCCTGTGGAAATGGGTAGATGATCGGGCAGAAAAAATCCGTCTCAGTCGGGTGGTTTCTAGTGGAAGCTCCCAGGTGGAAAACGAGTGGGGCCTGGGATCCTGCTAACCACCAGGGAAACAGCTGCCAAGTGGGCATTAGGCAGCTACAGGGACCTTCCTGGTGTTCTGCGCTCTTGTGCCCACTCTAGTCCCCAGCCCTCCTCCCAAAGGCTGCTCTTCCTCACAGCCACCTCGATGCCAACGCAGGACACCCACGGAGTCTGTGGCCTGGATCAGGATGGGGATGCCTGGCTTGGAAGCGGTCAGTTTACTGATGAACCCCACCCAAACTGGGGGTGGCCTCTCCCTGAAATCTCCCAGGGATGTGGGGAGAAGGACTGAGTCCTTGGCGCCTCAGGAAGGAAGAGCTCTGAGCTCAGCCCTTCTGCCCCACTTAGAGAGAAGAGTCAGCCGTAAACGGGCCCTCCGACACGCAGCCCAGGAAGATATTGTGGGTGATGGCACTGAACACCACCAAGGTGTTTACTGTGAGGAGGGGGAAGGGAGGGGACCCTCCACATCCTCATCCTCCCCCTGTAATTAAACAGGAGGCAGCCGTGTGCAGCAGCTGCCAAAAAAGCCAACAGTTCTAGGCTGCATAAAGAGACGGATAGTCTCAAGATTACGTGAAGAGTGAATACTGCTTGATAAGGCCTTGGGGAGGCCACACCTGGAATCCTGCATCTAGCGTTGGTTGCCAAGATGTAAAAAAGATGTGGAGACTCTAGAAAGAGTGCAGAGAAGAGCAAGAAAGAGGATTGGAGGCTAAATCATATAAAAAACAGTTGCAGGAACTGGGTGTGTCTAGTTTAATGAAAAGAAGGACCAGGGGAG